TTAATCAATAAATAGGTAGTCAAGGACTGCATGTGACTCAGGCCATATAGATTATTACAATGGYAATGAGTTTCAAATAATGATGGTCGTAATTATGACAATAAACTGTTTGCATTTGTTTTTGATTGTCCGTGATTTTCAAAACCAGTGTAATGCACCAAAAAAGTTTAGTAGAAAGACATATAAAGAACAGTGCAATGGGTCCTTGTGCCGGCCGTCAGCTCCGAAACGTTCTTCCAAACTCACTAAATATCAGCAAGATTAAACATCCGTGACGAACTGGCCGAGTGGGGACAGCCAAAGAGCTGTCTTAAAAATAACTTCATATAGGTCGAACGATAAATAAAGAATGCATTTGTGCATAAGTTTTATTATGAAAGCATGTTTTTGAGACTTTTATACTTTGAAAATTTGCTCTCTTCGTTGTTTAYACGACGAATCGATGTATGCTGCAAGTAACGCAAGTGGGATGGTTACATCACTCGGACATTCAAACCGATGACATAATGACGAGAGCCCCCATAAGGCCTTTCGTCACAAAAATCATCCTTTTGTCATATGACCACACATATTTTTACACATTAAGTTTGTGATTTTAAAAAGTTATAACTACGTTTTCGTACCTACGTTACTACAGTAGTATTTCCATAATCTTTTTCTTTTTTGTCATTTGCTTCGCAAATTCAGTGGATTCTCAGAGAGTCGGCARACTGTGACGTTGGCCGTGAAGACCCTGGGCTCGAGATTTGCCTTGTGCGTACCTTGTTGCACAGAAATCAAACTACTTAATCAATTTATGGAAAGGACACAGGAAAATGATGGTTCCTTCCTTGAACCACTTGCATGTTCTTCGGAAAGAACTAAAAGTCCAAACGTATTCAAGAAACACTGTCGTTCATTCGTCGGGGTTCTACTTGCATTGCTGTCCACTTTATCAGTTGTGATAATGAACGTATTTGCAAAACTCTGCCTTATTCTTCCTCCTTTTGAAGTTGGAGCAATTGGATTTTTAGTTYATCTTTTATTGACGACACCACCTGTGATTTACGCAAACCATTCGCTTGTTTATCCACCGAAGGTCATTGCACTTCTTGTTTTGAGAGGATTTTTTGGATCGAGTGCAATGTTAGCTCGGGTTTACTCCGTGCAAAACATGCCTTTGGGGGATGCTATTGTATTGAATTTTACATCCCCAGTATTCACAGCCGTTTTGGCAAGGATATTCTTRAAGGAGCGTTTACATTGGATCTATTCGATTCTTCTTCTATTGTGCTTGGCTGGTGTTTGTCTCATTGCACGACCAACATTCATCTTTGGACATCCAGACASTGCTCCTGAGTATGATAACGTGTTGATACCCTCTCTTGTTGCTTTGCTATCAGCTGTATGCTCAAGTTGTGCTATGGTAGCAGCAAGACTACTTRTAGCAACATACAAGGTCCCATCCAGTGTGATATTATTATACTTTGGCTTGGTTGGACTTGTTTATTTAATTCTTGGGTCATACTTTGACAGAGGATTCCAGTTTCCATTTTGTCAAAGTATCGAGTATTTGTTTGCAACATGTGTAGGGCTTTTTGCATATCTGGCTCAGTTTTTTCTTAACGGATCACTAAAATATGAAAAAGCCTTTATTGTAGCGCTTTTACGGAGTTCAGGAACTGTATTTGGGTTTATCTTCCAAATAATAATTTTTTCCCTTATTCCAGACTATTTAAGCTTTTGTGGGGCATCAATGATAATATTGTGTAATTTTATCATTTTTACTTTGAAGTGGTATCAGAATAAGAACCGCTTTGGAAGATAAGAAAGTCATATTTTTGCTTATATAATAAATACTTTAGTTTACAGCGTGCAGACGGGTAAAAAACTAGACGGCACAAAAAGTTGACCTTGACGGCGGGAGACAAATAAAGGATTTTTTTCAACGATTCAGTGTATATAGATGATATTTACATGGACGCGCGCGGAAATAACTGTCACTCGTGAGATATCGATTTAACACTCGAAGATAAAATTAGAATTTCCAAGCGGTCATGTGATGTTCTATTTATCCATATCGATCTATTATATAAATATTGATCTAATTGTCAAACACATAAGATATAATATCTTTTCATGGCTCAAGATATT